TGTCAACAAGGACGCCAGCAGCCCGGAGCTCCACAACCTGGTCAGAATCCTCACCGAGGTCAGGGTCAACGTCACCGTCGTCTTCGCCAACAGACAAACTGCCCACTCTTTCTTTGAGGTGGTGGTCCAGAGGAACATCACAGGCAGGGTGTGGGTGGGCTCCGAAGACTGGTCGCTAGCCCAAACAATCTGGCAGGTGCCTGGCATCCAGAGTATCGGCTCCGAAAAAAAAGAAGACGGAGTCCGTGATGCTGGAGCGCTTAGAGTCATGGATGATGGCAGACGAGAGCACTGCGGCTGAGCATGCCAGCAGCACAGGGGCAGACGGGGGAAGCGCCTGGCTGGACTGCACCCAGCGCTGCACCGGCTGGCCCCCGCCCAACGCTGCCCTTGACATGTACGACGCTCATGCCTCCTTCAACGTCTACTCAGCCGTGTACGCCGTGGCCCACGGCCTCCACGACCTGCTGGGCTGTGCCTCAGGGGCGTGCAGCAAAGGCACAGTCTATCCCTGGCAGGTAAGAGCAACATGAGAAAGCATCTTCCTTGTGGAATAGGATCCAAGAGGATCCTTCCTCAGAGGGAAGGATTTCCCCCTTATGCCCAGGGATTTTCTGTCCCTCTGAAAGGCTTGTGTGCCAGCTGAAGAGCCTTGTGGGCTTCAGCCGCAGTCAAAGCAGCCTGGACCTAGAGCCAGAGCCCTGCCCTAGATCACTTCTGTTCCTCTAGCCCCTTCACAGAAACCTGGAAGGGACTTTCTGCAGCTGGACATACGCTAGCTGTTGGGGGGTGGGAAGAGGAGCCAGAGCAGGGAAGGGGCTCTCTAGCACATCTCCTTCCCAAGACAAGGCACTCCTCAGCGGGAGCCTCCTCACTGGGAAGGGCTCTTCTCTTACTCTTCTGTTTTACAGCTCCTACAAAAAATCAAGCAAGTAAACTTCACCCTGTACAAGAGCCGCATCTCTTTTGATGCCAATGGGGACATTCGTAAAGGCTACGACATCATCATGTGGAAGTGGAGTGGCCGGAACTGGGCTTTCGATGTGATAGGACATTTCAGTGTGAACCCCGGCAGGCTGAGCATTGACCAGGACAAAATCCTGTGGCACACAAAAGATCGCCAGGTACCGTTCTGCATCCAGATCTTATTTATTGCTTACTGCCGTGCCAGCTACATCCCCAACACCACCAGTTTGGGGGCATTTACCCATAGCAGGACAAAAATGATGTCAGACAAAGGCGGTATGGGGGGTGATCCGCATTCTGAGCATCACCCTTCATCCTTCCAAAAAACAAGCAAGAAAAGCTCCCAGGTCCTACTTTTATCTTTAAAAGGTCTCATTTTCTCACCACCTCTGTAAGAACCACAGCATGGCGAGCTCTCGGCTCCTGCCCTGTCTGTCCTGAAAGCTGGCAGCAAGCTGCCTGAACACTGCCAAGCCCGGGTCTGGTGCTCAGCGAGGTGTCCCGCTGCCTGCCCCGCTGCCTGCCTGATGCTCGCTGCACTCCCAACAGGCTCCCCCCTCGGTGTGCTCCGAGCCCTGCGAACCTGGGGAGAAGAGGCTGCAGTGGAGCCGCCACCGATGTTGCTTCAGCTGCGTGGCCTGTCCAGCAGGAACCTTCCTGAACAGATCGGGTCAGTACACCTGGGGGGCTGCTCCCTCCCCTTTCTTCTCACTTGGCTCCCCTGCCCATGCCCTGCCTCCGCCTGTCAGCTCCTTGCTTCCGTCTCACCATTCCCCCAGCCACTTCCCTCCTGCTCTCTCTTCCTCCCGGTGGTCAGTAAAATCCTCTGAGCTCACCCGAGCACAGTCGCTCTGACTGCCTCGTTTGCCTGCCCGTGGGTATGCAAAGCCCACGCCCGTGCTTCCCGGGGAGCGCTGCCCACAGGAGGGCCCACGCAGCCAAACTGCCGGCAGAGACACCCCCAGCAGAGCCCCTTCTGCTGCGGCCAGGGGACAAGGGACATCCGGCCTGACGGCCGTTTCCTGCACCACAGCCTCCGGGAGGGAAATTTGGCCTGGTGGTTGCCAGATGGCACTCAGGACTTCCGCACCACGCGGTCACAGCAGCTGGCACATGGAAATGTCCCCGGCCTGGGACAGGTGGCAGGAATCTCCTGTCTCTGAGCCACCAGCCACAATAACAAACCCCGTGCTGGCAGCCAGTCACCAGCAGCCTCAGCCTGCGTTTGGGCTGAGGGGGGCAGAAACGGCCAGCTCTGGGTAACAGTGGGAGCGGAGAGCCCCCAAACGTCACTTGTCCTGTACCCCAGCCTGCGGAAGGGGCGCTGCTGCAGCCCCTTCCCGTCCTTCGCAGGTTACTGCCGGACACACAAGCCCTTTCCCATCCACAGCCCCCACACCCCTGAGCCTCGGCTTGCCCTGCTGAGCTCCCGCAGGCTTCGTGCCTTTCAACCCGAACAGCGGACTTTTGGGAAGTCCACCGGGGAACTTCTGGGGGAGGTCTTTTGAAAAAAGAGCCCCCTCCACTCCCCAGGGCTTGGAAGCACCCAAGGGGAGGGACCAGGATGCAAG